TGGCCCATATGGGCCATGATGACTGGGAGCTGAAGTCCAAAACATCTGCCATTCATAATAATCTAGGACCAGAATATCTGTCTGAATTCCCACAACACAGCAATTTCTAAATCCAGGTTAACTGATCGGGTCAATTAACCTCCAATCGGGGGAGGGGAAAATGATAAAGAAGGTAAGTTCCCACAAGCCCATCTGCATATTTTGCTGCTGTATATTTTTCTGGAAAACAAAGCAAAAAGCTTCTGGATCACCTTTGCAGTAGCTGGGAGAGCATCAAAGATGGCCCACACTTTGATTGGTGTGTCTCCAATTTTGCATTGCTGGCAAAGAGTTACAGGTACATGTCTGACCCAGGATAGTAGCTGGCTAGACCAGCCATGTCTTGCAAACACAGACATACATATCTTAACATATAGCCTTGTTTAGAGTACAGAGCAACTTAATTCACGCAATTCCATTTCAATGTGTTTTATTGAAAGGTACACTTGTTGCTTACAGGCATAATAGGACTTTCTGATAACCAGTTTGTTCCTCCTTGGCACTGTAAACATCTCCATCTGGAATATTGTTCACTTTCAATCTTCAGATAGCAAAGGCATATTAGATACAATTTAATAACTTGTCCGTAAAAAAAATGTCTGAAGAAACATCCCATCAGTTTTGTTCTGAAGAGCAGCTTGCAATGAGGTAGAAGTAAATGGTTTGTACCAAACGCTGGGTTAAACCAAAAACAAGTCTTCAGATTTCTGTACTTAAGCAATTCTCCTAAATTTGTTACTTCAATTCTAAATACAAGACAGTCAGCTTTAAGTGAGCCATTAAGACAGCACCAAAGGCAGAGAAGCTAAAATTTAAAATGTCAGAATGGTTGCATTATCCTTTCCAGTTTTTCTTGTGGCAATTTAAACAGAACCAGAAAAATGCCTATACAATGATGTAGGTAGAATACTAATCTGAACACAATACAGCTAGAAACAGACATTGGGAGAAGTGTTTTAAAGGAACCAAAGTCAAAAAGCTATTGAACATGTTAACAGCTGCTTAAACAGATCACTGCTGTGTAGCAAGGCTGCTGTTTAGCAACTGTTGCCTCCTTAGGCCATTTAACATTCAAGAAATCACGATGCACAAATTTAACTTCTTCTGGTTTAGCCATCTCAACTATCCATTTGAATCAACTGATAATTATAAACAGAATGAGCAAAATAGTAATTTAATCCTGCCTAGTTTTTATTAGCATCACTGCAGGAGTTCTTTCTTCCTAGGAGAACCCATTCCAACTTTTGGCTGAACAATGCAGTATACACTGGTAGAAAACATTCTCAAGTTGAAAAAATCATCAATTAAAATGGCTTAAAGTGGCATAACACTAAATTCTATTCTTTGAAGTCCATTTAACGCAATGTTTTACTGAAAGTTTGACAATAATCCAAAACCACAGAAACATTCCCGAAATGTATGCTAAATACAAACATATAGAACAGTGTTTCTCAACCTTTGCAACTTTAAGATGTGTGGACTTCAACTCCCAGAATTCCCCAGCCAGCCATGGCTGGCTGGG